CACTTTATTTAAGTCAATAGTTTCAAACTCTTCTCATTATAAGCCATATTTTGAAGCTAGGAGAAAAGGGAAATAATTTTAATTGTATCCTCTTATTTCTCTATGCCAAATTATAACAATCAGTTACCCATGAGTAAGATATACATAATAGAGAAGAAAAGAAGTCAACGTTTGGATTACTAGTTAATGATAAATGAGAAGTAAAACACCATTCTTTGTCAATATTCCACTTAAGGGTAGAACAGATCATTTCATAGACAAAACTGTCATTCAACTGTTATATTTTCGATCTATCTACTTTGCCAGCAATATTAGCTCTAGATACAAATATCTGATGCTCAAAAGCTGGTAAGGGGGCAAAAATGGGGTTTCGTAAGTCCGAGTCACTGATATTTTAGTAAATTCAATAAAGACAAAAAATAGCCTCGGGCTCTGAGAATACTCTAGATGATTGGTGTATCTTCATTGCACAGCACAGAGCCAGCTGCCCTGCTCTTACCTGATTGCAGGTATTGATGTCTATGCCGCCCTTCAGATATTCCACGACTTTGTCCAGGTTGCCTGCTCTGGCAGCACGGAGGAAGCTTGCATTGCTGTCAGACTGTGAGAAAAAGAAAAGACCTTTTAGTGAACTACTGGTGAAATAAAAACCTATCAATTCCAGAAAGACAAGAATGTTTACACTGCAAGTCAGAAAAGCTTTAGTTGGAAATCTTTTAACACTGAGTTCGAAACATTAAATCATTATTCACAGTAAAAGGTTGCAGCTTCACAGTATTTCTAGAGCGTTAAGTATATTAAAAGTCAATGGGAAATATACTCTACTATATTAAAGAGTATAGAAGAACCGGTAAAATGAAAATAGTTGTTACTGCTTTATTCCAAATCTTCAACCACATTCAAAGATGCATTTACACTACCCCCAGATACCAGTGTTGTTCATTTTAGCTTCAGGATTCTAGTGACTTTATACTGAGCCTAATGGCAGTCAACAAAGAATCAGAGAACCAAAAGAAATGAAAGGTACTAGGTTTTTTTCTTTCTCTTTCTTTGCTGTTGCTTTTCAGATGAGTCTGAGGGAGAACACTGCGTATGGTCACTTAGCAGTCATCTGTCCTCATGACCAGGGAATGACAGAAAGCTCCGAGGACGCTTTGGGGAAAGGCAGTAACTCTACTTCCCAGGTGTAGACTGGCCTGATGCAAATTCTGTGATCCCAGTGACTTTGGAAAAACATGATTAAATTCAAAGCAGCTGACACAATACCAGACTACAATCACTTGGTAAATATGATCACTCTGCACGGAGACTGCTTTTTAAGTTTCTCATCTTCCCGCACTCCTATCAAAATCTGATCCTAGAACAATCAGCTGAATTCTCCTCAAGGAAAGTCCTAAGGAAAGTTGCTCCAGAGATCTAGCTACAAAACACACTGCTCCTCTGGCCTGCTGAAAAAGTCTGACTTCGAACCGTCACGTAATAATGACGACATGTTTTTGCTAGGTGCCAAGGCACTTGCGCAACTGTCGCGATTTTTCTTGTGATATGGTGTCTGCCTACAGAGAAAATGGCAGCATGAAGAGAGACATAATTTATCGATTAGGAAGTGAGATGCAGGTTTGATGACTCCTAACAGAACATCCTCCTTACTAGGCTACACTGCCTCCCTCGCTCGAAGAACGTACTTGGCAGGAACTCCTGGCACAGCTATTTATTCTGATTTGTGGTGATGTGCAGAGATAGAAATGAAAGTATTTTCACTGGGAGTTTCAAATATGGAATTACTTGCGTACTGTTAAAATGATTTACACATGGGAAGACTGAAAACTGTGGAACTAGATTACCTCACTTTTAACCCAAATACCATCGTGGCTTATATATTTACAAATGAGATAGATAATTTATTAAGAGTCGAAAGGGCTGACTGAAATCTGTACATCCGGAGTTGGTGCTCTGATCCTTCAGGAATGCATCAGAGTAGGATAACATCGCACTGTTCTTCCCTGTCCCCACACCTCTGCCACGCCGCACTCTTCAGCCTTCCTGAAAGCTGTGCCCGTGGCAGAGTGCCCCAAGTCTGTCTGCAACGCTGCAGGGACTGAATTGCGACTCCTTTTAAAATGCATATTCTATGAAATCATTTTGCGTTTGCAGCAAATGCTAGATTCCAGGAGGATTTTTCTACCTTCAGGTTTGTCACCATAGCACTTAACAGTGGGCCAGGCGCAGTGGCTCACGCCTGCAATCCTAGCACTTCGGGAGTCCCAGGTGGGAGGATCGCTTGAGCTCAGGAGTCTGAGACCAGCCTGAGCAAGAGCATGGCCCCATCTCTAGGAAAAATAGAAAGTTCCAGCTATTCAGGAGGCTGAGGCAGGAGGATCGCTCGAGCCCAGGAGTTTGAGGTTGTAGTGAGCTATGATGATGCCACGGCACTCTAGCTGGGGGACAGAGTAAGACTGTGTGTCCAAAAAAACCACAATAAAACATAATACTATGTATTATGTCACATCACATCAATATCTCACAAGAATCATTATTTTTGCCATAAAACAACAAAAACAAAATAATATTAGGTCACAGATATATGAAAATATTATTCCTGTATATACAGTTTTTTTAAAAAATAAATCTGTGTGCTACATTTTGTATTAAAGGTTGTTCCCAGAAAGTACTTTCAATTTGTACATGACACAAATAATTGGAGGGAACATTTATTGAGTGTTTACTGTGGGCCAGCAACAGAGCTGAAGGAGCCATTTGCATTACATCATAAATACTCACAGTAAGGCTGTGAGGAAGGAACTATTATTGTGCTCATTTAATTGGTGAGGAAAGATCTGTAAAAATTTTCCAAGGTCACACATTTTTCAGTGGAAGATCCAAGATTTAATTGATGTTTATCAGGCTCAGAGCTGTAAGTCTTATCTGTTACTCTACTCCACCCCTCCAAAGTATCGAAGCAGATGTTACTACAGATTTCTAATCTATGAGCTATAGGGTTATTTCATCCATGTTACCCACAGTCATGCCCTTGCTCTATATATTCACTCTGTAAGTCACGGCCATGCTAAAGAGGGTGGCTCAGCTGGACAGGGAGTTCCTGGCTGCCATCCCTACCCGCACATCGAGGGATTGGGAATGAGACTGAGGATTGCTTTTGCTGCTACATAGGAACGAAAAGTTTTCATCACTGTTTTTCTCTTTACTGAATTGAACTTTTTAAAAGTGGATGCAAGTCAAAGAGTTGCAGCTAATCCCCGGAATTTTAACAAACAATGTTCCCAGTGTTCTGGAGGGGCTAACCCCAATGGAAATGTAATATCTGAACCATCCTGCCAGGGACCACTTTGCCAGTTGAATCATAGGAGACTTTGGTATGAGTTGAACTCTTCTAGAACCCTGTTAAGGAATTTAGTTTTCCCAAAGTGAGAAAATGCATTAAATGGAAGTATTCTTATAAAATGGTCCAAGAATGTGTGCTTTAAGGACAGAATCAAAATGAGGTTTCAAAATGTATGCACAGATATTGACATTATTGAAGGTCAAATGTATATTTCTGCATAGAAAAAAATACATATATATTCTTCTTCCCCTTCCACAGACACATGCATGTCGTACCCTACAATGAGGTCAATCTGTGATTAAAGCTCTTGACACAAGAGCTTTGGATAAACAGTGGTTAGTCTGGTTACGCTCAATCAATACAGAGATGAAAGAGGATTCCAAGATTCATGGACAGAGACGTTGCTGCAGTTTTTACCGTGCTGTGTTTCTCAACCAACTATCACAAAAGTAAGAATTTTAAAATCAAGTATAAGTAGGGGGGAAAGAATACTTTCAAAATAGATTTTTCTTTGCTCAATCAAGAGATTTCATAATAAAAGCACAATAAAGGAAAAAATGAGGCAATAGCAACTCCTTTGGGAGAAAGTCTCAGACAAATAGAAGACTAACCTCTGTGCTTTGCTGCTTTGTGTCCCTAGGACCCTGAACTCCTAAAACCAATTATACTTCTGCCTATAAAGTCTGACGCTGGACGAGAAATTCAAATGCTGAGTCCCACCTATTTTTAATCTTTAACAGATGGATGTCATTAAAACTTGCCCTCTTTATACCCCTAGTGTGACATCTCAGGCCAAGAAAGAAAAATTTCCTCCCAAACTCTTCTTGACATAGTTCTACACGTTTCTTTGTATCTGAATGTTAGAAAAACAGAACAATCTTCTTAGCACCCAGCAGTGTGGACATGAGAGGCTCTATGTGCATTCATAGAGCCACATTATATACTAAAAGAGTATTACTCCAAAGGCTCTGGGGGCATACTTACAGGAGGCCATGAGTTTGCTACAAGATTTTTTAAAATTCTGTGCTTACATTTTGATAATAATCTAATAAGGAAAAAAGTAGCACATTCCAGGTCATCTGGATGGCGACCCTGTGAGTATAACCATATAATTTTGGCATAGGCCTTTGTGTTTATAATTCAGTGCACAAGTGAGGTCTAAATAACATATAGATGAATGATCTGCAGAAAGTTTTGCTGTACTACAGAGAGGAAAGAACAGTCCGAGAATCTGGGCATCATACATAGAAGGACGGTACAGACATCAAGAACAGAAAGAGCCTGAGCAATAGCATATCCATGCTGCAAATAAAAGTATGGCTCAGACGCTCACGGGGTCCAACTCGCACTGACCATTAGCAATGAGTGTAACGCAAAATCCACGGCGAAACATTTTTCAATGGTCCCAATTTTAGCTTTTATTGGAGTGAGTACACAATTCTATCACAATACTAATTTCATCTCCAAGTAAATAAAGAGAGCTCTCTTTCAAAGACTATTAAATGGGATGCCATTAAAATTGACAGTGGCAAATTTCTCTGAGAGCTTTAAGTTTTAGTAGCCTTAA